CTTCCTAAGGTCAAAATGGGTAAGAGTCCTTCAGAGAGGCAGCTTCTCATTTCAATCCCCAGAGCAACAGGCAAGAAAAGAGCTTTGCAAATCGCTGTAGAAGAACTTCATGTCATAGATGAAAATTATTCTGACCTTTCTTTGAGCAATGGTGAGATGGGTGTTCACCATGCAAGGTCATTAGGCAATCACATTCAGACATGCAGAGAATATCGGTTCAATGCTTTTATTAGCAAAAATTCCTACTATCTGCTTCACTAAACACTTATCTTTCATTCACTATGCAGTGCTGCTTTGGTATTCATTATGGAGAGATATGTAATGCCTCATGTCCCTGAATAATAAATGTATAGAGGTATAAAGATAGAAGTATAGAGGTATAAAAAAACCCAACACCAGTATACAGGCATAAAGCTTGGCTTTCAGACCTGACAGTGTTTCTCATTTTGCTCACCTACTCTGACGACCATCATCTCTGAGCGGTCACAGTCAAAGGGCTGCCCTGCTGTGCACAGAGAAAGAGGGGAAAATAGTCATGTTACTGTCTGGAAAGTATCCTCTCCTTCTCATTCAATAATGTGATATTTCCCCATGAGTGTGCTTTCCTGAACAACAGCTGAAGAAAAGACACACAAGATCACAAGAAGTTTATAATTTTTCACACATTCAGCTGTTGGGTACGTAGATCTCTTCAGGAGTCAAGAATTGGAGGTGGGGCTTCAAATGCTGGCAGGGACTTCTGGGTCAGAGTCCTGAGGTAGCTGGGGGCAATGGCTGTAATGAGAGGGAAGGGCATCCTCCTTCAGCTGCTGTGAAATAGGCACATTTTCTACCTGACTGAACTCCTGCACCTTCCTTTGGCTTACAGCATGAAAATAGCTTGTTCCTTCCCTGTGTGTCATCCCAGTGCCAGTCTAGGCTCAGGTTTGCATGAGACCTGGTATAAATCAAGTTTAAATGATCATCCTCTGGAACTACTGATATAAAATTTAATGTGGTATTTTTACCTTCAGCCCTTGCAGTTACTGGAATGCAGGTTAAAAGCTGCATTTATTGCAGGCATTTATTTTTATTAAGAACAGATCTTTGCAATCCATCAAAACCACTCAGCTTGTGAGGAAGTGCACTGTAGCTCTCAGCTGTAGCTCTCAGCTGTAGTTGCCAGTAGCTGTGTTCCTAATCATACAGCATATACACCAACACATGGTGCAAAGCATGGATGGTGCAAAGCATGGGCTGTTGGAAACATCCTACAGGTCACCAGTGCTGGCTTAGGACATGTTTTCTCTCCACACCTGGCATCCAGCTGGGACAGACCACTGTGCACAGGGTGCTCCTCAGGATTCTCTGAAGTCCCAAGAAAACCTCTGCTGACAGAAGGGATGAGACTTCATCCTTCCTGCAGTGCTTGCACAGGTGTTGAGGTGAGGAGAGGTGTTTTCCTGTTGCCTCCTGTCTGGGATTTGGTGGGGCAATGTGGAGGGCAGGGTTGGAAATTATATTTCCAGATGACAGTGTTTGGGAGACAAGTAAAGAGAGGTTACCCTGTGCCTAGCTCTGCGCTAAGTAATGAGAAGCCATAAATGCAAAGCGATTTCCTACTGTTATTTTTAAACTAAGAATATAAAAGTGACAGACCCAGGTCAGAATGAAGCTGCACCATCCTTGGCAATCCAAAGCTAGTGCCTTTGGAAAAGTACAAGGACAGGGCAAACGTATACTGATTTCCCTCCCAAAATGCTCTCCTGGGCTATTTGTATTACAGTGATTTCCTGAACTGAGGCGGTGCCTTTTTTAGTAGCCTGTAATTTGCTTGCTTAAATTTGCCCATAAATTGCATCGAACTCTCGTAACTTGCCTTGAAGCCATCAAGCTTTCCAGCACTGAGCTGTGGGTCAAGCCCAGGCTGTGGCAGCAGTCAGAGCTGCCCTAGGAAAGTCATTCCAAGGTTACACACTGACTTTGTTGTGGGACAGTTAGGCAAGCCCTTGTGTCCCTCTGGCCTGTCTGGCCATCCTGCAGTCTGACTGTGTGTTTTTCCAGCCTGTCCAGGAGCTTCCTTCTGGCTGTCATGAGAGGTTGTGCTGTCATCGCCCACTGTCAGGCAGAGGCAGTTCTTGAGTGTCTGCTGTGCTCCCCTGCTGCTGGGAAACCCCCTTGCCTTCCAGGATCTACAACAGCATGACAGTAAATGCCACCAAAGGTGCTTGCATTTCCCTTAGGAACAAGAAAGGAGAATCAAGTCACAGCTGGACTTGTAATTAAGGGTAATAACAACAGCTTATGTATTGACGTTGTCTTAAAGTCTTTGCTGTATCAATTCCAGTATGTTACACTGAGATCTTTCCATGCTCAGTTCAGTTGGGTCTTGTGTCAAAGCACTGTGTCATAAGTGTCAAGAGCAGGACAAAAAAACTGTGATCGCTAACATTTAGTGTATTTTCTGACCATCACATATTTAATACTCCACCACTGCAAAAGAAAGCAACATTTCAGTCAAAGAAGTGCTCTAGGTCAGTAGCTGTTTTGTTTTGGGAGCTGGTAACTCAAGAGTTTCTGAGGTGACACCATCTACCTTTACCACCAAAGGAGAATCCGATACTGGCAATGCAGTGTGGTCTTCAGTGCAGGTCCATAGCCTCGTCTCACAGCCTCATGGCCACCAACAGCCTACTCTCCAGGAAGCACTCCCTTCCCCAAGCAGGAAGCAAACATGGGCTGGACTTGTCTTCTGCAGCCTCTGCCAAGTTCCTCCACAAAAGATTTATCTTGCCAGGCTTTGTTTAAAGCAGACTGAAAAGCACAACCTGAAGCACTGGGCTTTCACAGTGGGTTTTGGTGCCAAATCCAGCGTAATTGTTGCATTTCCTTTCCCTTCCGAACTCCCTCCTTGCAGATAGCCTGTAATGTAACTTCCTGGGAATGTTTTGTTTTGGGAGATGGAAGAGACACCGAGGGTGTCCCTCAGAAGCATTACAGGGAGGAAAATGCACACTGCTAAAGACAGAAGGATGTTCAAGATAGACAGAGCCTTTCCATTTGACTCCTGCTGTGTCAAGCCTGATGCTTTTAACCCTGAAAGGATACTCCCTGCAGTCACACAAGGCTTTTATTTGGTAAAGATCAGAGCCCCATAGCAGGCTTTCAGGGGGTTCCTGAACTGGCTGAGCCTGACTGGAGAGTGAGTGCAACCACAGCAACACTGGACAATATGGTAAATCAGGCACTGTAGGTTTGCTCTGATCTGATGTTTGACATTCAGTATTTGCATGAGAGTTTCAGGCAGGTGATGTTGAAGACTGGAAATTTTATAGTCCAATCTGTAAGTCCCACCATATGGAATGGATCTGTCTGAACAGAGCAGATACCTCTAGTGTTATTAAAAACACACAATTTTTAATATATTGCAAATAAATGCATTTACTGGAGGGTATGGCTGGGAGCCCTCTATTTTTTTATCCTACAGCACATTGTGTGAACTACTGAGACAATAAGACCAGCAAAGTGAGTTGCTTTTTAGTCAGTCACACTTACAAAGTTTTGACTAGGCAAAACATATTTGCCTTTGAAATAAAGAAGCTCCCAGCTACAGATATTTGTCACTAGCGTCCCTTATCGAGTGGTACCCTTCCCACTATGTGGGTAAGCAAACCCAATTTCATTCCCAGAAATGTCAGCTCCAATCAGTCCAATCACACTGGATTCTGAAATTGTGAAATTTGAAGTGCAGTGAAAAATTTGTATATTTGATTTTTTTTAGATTTTCTAAAAAAATGTAGTTTTATGTAGTAATAAACAAACCTTTACTTCCTTTGTGGGTTTTTTTGAGCTTAGAAGATGCTCCTGGACCACATCTTTAGGCTTTTCTCTGTAGCTGAGAGGGCTATGAGCCTGCTTTGTAAAAGTGGAGGGCAGGGAGTCTTCCATTATTACTAGCCTGAGGGAGCATGAAATTGAAAATATTTGCCATCACAAGGCTTATGATAAAAGCATGAGAATTGCTCAGACCCTTATGTCCGGTGAGGTATACAGGCAGGACTGGGACTAGTGTTCTGCCCACGAGCAGGAAATCAAATGCCTGGACAAATCAACATTTGAAAACGTATTTTAGCAGCTGGGGTTTTTTTGTTGACCTTTGTTAGTATATGACCCTTACTAGATGCTGTGAGGAATGTCATAGATTCCCTTGGTACTCTGTGTATGGTTGTATATTTTTTTTCTTTATTAAAATCTGGACAGAGGAAAATGGACCAGATTCCACTCTTTTACTCCTGCTCAACTCCAACAGCTGCATGGAGTGGTGGTGAAGTAACTGCTTTAATGGAACACATCCAAAAGCCCACTAATAACATGCATGATAAGAGATGTTATAAAAGTGCAAAGAGTAAATGTTTGGCAATTCTCCTCTAACATGGCTACCTTGTGCCAGCGACCTCATGGTCCAGTACAGCCTTTCCTCTCAAGTATGCTGTGTATAAAGATGATGGAAGTCCATTTTGGCATTGGTAGTACTTCTGAGGTGAGGCAGGATTTGCAGAACCACAGAATTTGGGGAAAAACATCAGGTTGTCAGGGACCTCAGTGGGTCATCTACTCCAAACCCCCTCTGAAAGCAGGCACTGACTGATGGCTGCAAGCTCATGCCTTCATCATGCTTATCTGCAGGATGCAGGTCAAGGTGCTTATTGTGGAGTTTACCTGTTGGACATCTGTAATAGGCACCTCAGCATCTGAGCCAGCTCCCTCTACTGTACTCATGGTCAACAGAGAGAAAACAGGAATCATGAGGGGTTTGTTATCTTTGGAGAAGCTGAGCCAGCTGTGGTCAGGTGAATCTCACTCAGGAACACACATCTGTGGTGTATTTCTTGCTCCTTTTTGATAAATGGTAACAGGGAAAATAGCAGCATTGAGAAAACTGCCTTTGGATGAAAAACCTAAAATGAAAACTAAACTAAAAGCACTTTTTTTTTTCCTTTTTTTTTCTCTCCCTGGGGCAGATGAGCCACCTGCCATGCCTGGACTCCAGCCTGGCCGCTGAGGAGATGCAGTCCCCCAGAATGGTGGGGAGGAAGAGAGGGCGGCCCCCGCTCCAGTCAGCGCCCATCAAAATGGCTGTTCACAACCTCTTCCCGGCACCGGCTGGGGCTTTGCCCATTGTGAAGATCCCAAAGAAGAGAGGGAGAAAACCTGGACACAAGGTAGATACGTGATTTTCACCGCCTCCTGCTGGTTTTCAATATATTTTCTCCTGGAATTTCAGTTGAAATGCAGGAATGGAGGCAAAGTCGTGCAAGCATGGGACAGAGCAGTGCAACATAAAAGAAGAAAAGATGGTTTCTCATCTACCTGAGCTGGCAAAAAATAGAGGGAATCTATTTTTCTGAAGTTTAAAGTTATCTTAATTTGGGTTGTGTGAAAATAAGTTGTCTCCCACAGTGTTGTGTGAGATGGCCGCACATCTTCAGGGAAGGGTTTCTCTCTCATTTGTCACTTTCATCTTCTCTCTCACAAACAGTGATTAGAAATTGAACAAAATGAATGGAAAAGGAAACAAATACAGGAGAGTGGAAATGAAATGAGAAAAAAAAGCTAATTTCCAAAGCAAAAAGTAAGAAAGGGACATTTTAGAAAATAACAAGATTTCAGTGATTATTTGTTTTTTCACTTTATGGGATAATCATGCCCAGCTCTCAACGCAACCTCAGTGTGCAGGCAGAGCTAAAGAAAGACAGAAACCCTGAGCACCTTAAGCCATTCCAATGCTGCCAGTTAGCTGAGTCTTACCTGCAAGTGGGCTCAGCACCAGTGGGAGCAGCACCACAGTTATGCCTCAGAGCAGGCAAAAATGGGACTGTGATGCTGAGGGGAGAATTTATCCTAGAGATTGAAACTTAGCTATGTTAGTGAGGGGTCTTGTGGTCAGCAGTTTGCTCTGTTAATCTCTCCATCTCTGTCCGCAGCCAACTGGGGGGCCGGTACATGTTTGCCATCCCTGTTCCTTGTTTTTATTGGGCACGGATACAGACATGCAGACTCTTACACAAGGAGGGCAAATTACTGACTGTCAGAAAATAATAGCTGCTTAAGTTCCTGATGTCAAGACAGAAAAGCGAATAGAACAATCATGGCATGCACAAGGCTGACCTAGCCTTTCCTAGAGAAGGTCTTGGCCTCGGGTGTTGCTTTGCCCTTCCCTGGGTCTCTCCTGTCATGGAGGGCAACAAGGTCCCATGCATGGTGCTGCTGGCTGAATTCCTTGGGTTTGGGCTTTATCTAGAGCAAACTACCCTCATCCTTGTATTTCCCTTTTCATCTCCTGCCAGAACTACTTCCTCCTATCCTCTAACCTCCATCCAGCCTCTTCTCTTCTTTCAAGGCCTGCCCTCTTAACTACTGCTCTGCATCCTGTTTCCAGAATCCCCTAATCCTTGGCATCCTGCTGTGCAACACCTACCCAACAGCCATCAGTACCTCAGTCTTTAGTGTTTTACCCTCATCCTCTGCCTTCTCCCATATCTTTCCATGCTCTCCCAACTTTATCCATACTCCTCTCTGATACGGGGACACATTTTGAAGTTTCAGTGTTATGTGTGCTGAGAACAGACTTTGCATGACTAAGAAACAGTTCCAGCTGGAGTTTCATATTTGAAAAGCTTTCACTTTGATAATGTGAATGATGTAACAGCAGCAGCCAAGCAAAGCCAACCTGACAGCAGTCAGGTGCCCCTTTTGGGATTACCATGGAATTTTATAGTAGTCCAAAATAGAGCTGCATGTCCAGAGAAAGACTGGGGCAAATTCCCTAGTGTTTTGTAAAATGTGAAATATGGAAATACTTACTATTTTTCACTTCTGTATTAGGACAAAACTCCAGGACAGAAACATCTGAATTGCTTTACTTGGGGTACTTGTTATTGCAAGTTCATTATTTAATATATTTATTTACTTTATTTGTTTCAAGTAATTTAATTATTATCAGCAAAGTTGCATGACTTGTAGGCTCTTTAGATCAGAATCATCCAAGTCTGGAATAATAATATTTTGGAGATCTGGTGAAATTAAGTCTTTGAGGTGATTAAGTGATTTGCCAAATACCACAATGAAACTTTGTATGCAGAGTTTCATCAAACACGATCCCTTCTGCCCCTACTTGTCCTGGTGACCCCCATTTCTTACTCCTGCATTTACATTTGATCTGTAATTCGACAAAAACAATGCTGGGCAGTATGTTCTGTTCTACCCCAAATGTACCCATCCACCCGTGAAAAAGTCTTTCACCAACCACCACATATCTGTAAACGGAAGAAGTGGGAGACGCATTCACTGAAATGCTGTTGTAATGCTGTGCTTTGGACCTACATGGCCAAGCACTTGATTGCTGTGTCCCCCTCTTCTTCTGAAAGGAAGCTTTTCCCCCAGCTGGGTACCACACACTCCTCCTCTCTGTGCCCAGGCACTTAGAAAGGAGGCAAAAGCATTCCTCCTTCAGCAGGGAATCTGGGATGATGCTATTTCTTGGTGAGTGATGGCAAGTAAAGAGGCATCCTCCTATAACCCGGTGGCTTAGGTTGAAGGAGCTGGCACCCATGAGCTGCAGTATCTGTGGCATCTGGCCTGGTGCTGTTTATTTGCGTTATAGGATTCATACACCGAAGTGATGTTTTCTGTGAGGCTCCTTTGTACGCTGTGTGACCAGCTGAAGTGAACCCCTCTCTGTCAAAAACAGTTCCCCAACATGAGTCAAAGATTACATTTTTTTGATGGGGAACTCTAGCTTGATTTAATTAGCTTGATAATTGTATGACTTTCAGATACCATGAGACTTAAATGCATTTTAAAAAATTATTCCCTGCCCAAATGGCAGACGACCAAATTCTTTATAGGAACCAGATAGCTGAATTATTACAGAACAGATGGGAAAATACTTCTGAATATTTAGGAAACTAGGAATTTACAGCCTAGATTTAAATTTATTTTGACTGAGATGTGAATAACAGATATTTTTCATCACATGCTTTTTATAGACAGGTGACCCATTGCCATTGATATTAAAGCAAATATCTGTGTCTTCCTAAAATGACACTTCATCACACTTCACCACCAAGAAAAGTCCTTTTCCTTGCTATCCTGTTTATTTTTTCACAGCTTTGGCTGTAACATTTCATCAGCTGTTTTTCCAAAAACTGTTTTGTACCTTATGTGGAGCCATTTGCCATCAAATATTACATCCTTTCTGATTGTCTGAATGTCTCAGAAAAAGCTTATTCTGGCAGCTGGGGGGAGGGGAGAGGTTAGTAGGTGGATGGGTTTTATTTCTCTGGCTATGAGTGAGAGAAGCCCCGAAGAGCTGCCTAGAAAGCCTGTACGAGGGAAGGGTTTGTTAACATCATGCAGGGATTCACGGTGTTAGAGGACACCAGAGGGACACGCGCATGGGACAACACTGCAGCAAAGACCACAACATCCCTCCCAGAGGGCAACAAAGTGGTGGTCCCATATGAGCAGCTCAAGGGCAGTTTGTCCTTCTATGCAACCAAAGCAAGCTCCCATCTGAAGAGGTGGCCCCAGCTCAGATCAGCCAGAACCTTGCAAGCTCCTGCCAAGCGAGGTGGGCAGCAAAAGTCACATAGTGGAGTGCCAATTTCCATTATGGGGCATAGATTTCCCTACTGCCCTCGAAGTCACTACTAATGATGACAAATAAGCAGTTAGGATTTGGATACGCTGGAAATGAGATTGCACAGACAACTTTAAAAGTGCCCTGATTCACCTGTCCTATGATACAGCCTTGGATTTCAAAGTTCTGTGTGCTCATGTTAAGGTTATCTGCCTCATTCACTGCAAAACACTTAGGGGATGCAGGAGTGTGTAGGACGTGTGCAGACTCGCTTGCATTATTTGCTGTGCAGAAGAAAGGTATTGCGTGACACAAGAAGAAAAGGTGGGAAAGACCTTGGATTGTGTTTTGCCTTTGCCAGGGTAGCACTGACCTCTCTGCCCCAGCAACTGAGCTTGTCTTATGCTGTCTCCTCACTCACCAGCAAATGCAGAGACTCTGTGAGGTTTAGCCATGGACCCCAAGACATGTACTCAGAAGCTCTGCTTTCAAGGAACAGGTTTAATGGCAACCTTCTGTCCAGCCATCAGAAGTCCACATGACAGGACCAGGCTGACTCAGGCATTCACCTTTGTGCTCATCTCTGTGCATATTTCCAGCAGCAAAAGCTCTCATGGCCAGGAGTTACCTCTGTCCTCCTGTCTGGAAGAACACCAGCTCATTGGGGGTGAGAAGAATTCCAGCCTTTTCTAGCAAATGCTTTTTCAGGACAAGGGACAAGTGGTGCAGAACAACTGGGAGCCATAAAGATGAGAACCTATGATTGAAGTGGTTTAAGAAATCTGCAAGGAAAATTTGTATTATTCATCATGTTTCTTTCCCATGTATTTTATTACACAAGTTGGCAGAGAACTTGTTCAGAAGAAAAAAAAGTTGTCTGGAAATGTTCTTCACCCGCTCACTTTTTTTGGTGTGGGATGACAGAAATACTAGCTAGATGAATTCTGACTGTTCTGTGTGCAGATTGTAGCAAAACCTCCAGGACTCAACAGGGTCTTCCTCATCCACAGCCACTGCATACTCAAACAAGCTTGTGGGCAGCATCTATGGCACAAAAGCCCACACCCTCTCTGCATGTAAAGCATGGTGACTTTGGTGAAGTAGACACACTAATTTCCTACCCTAAACCCCTGATCAGCTTTCTCTGATCTCTTTTCCAGGGTAGAGAGTCTGTAACAGTGGGCTGTAACTGTGGTTGGTTGTAGATCTTGTTTTAAAGCAACCATTGCTTTTACATCTCATGCTGTGCCTATTAAAATTTATGACATTTGATATTCAAAAGCTGATTCAAATGCCTTACCAAGAGGGTTTCCCAGAGTGCTCTGACAGATTTCCTCTGTCTCCTTTTCTCTCTCTCTTTCTCTCTCTCCCTTTTTCACTGTTTTTTTCACTTTAGTGCATATGTACTCTCTACTGCCAAGCACTCAGCCAGTCAGCTGGTTGGTTGGGTTGGCTTTTCAATAGCAAAGGATCAGTCCAAGAAAAGACATCTTTAAATGGAATGCTTGGAGATTTACACATCATGATATTCAAGGACTACTTACAGTTTCAGTGGCCAGGATGTAGCTAAGCTATGTTTGCTAGTGTACTGTCCCTTGCAATAATCAGGCATTGTTTTATTTTGATTTAATGAAGGCACCTTCTCTGCTACCCCTAGTAAAATGGCATTTATCTGTACCCAGAGGCTCTAGAGCACATTCTGTTGCAATTAATTTTGCAGTAAACTGTTTGCTAAAACAGGAAACTGCCAAGAAGGGGCTTCCATGCTTAAGAGTTTACACAAGTCTTGCCCTCTGTTTATTTGCTCTTGAATATAAGACTGCCTAGGCCTCCAAGAGCCAGATGGAGAACGAGGTCTACTGGACATAGTCCTGCCTCCACCAGGCTGATGGTGTTGGTGAGGCAGCGTACGGTGTTGGTGGGTCAGCACACACTGACGAGGTTCAAGGGCTAGAAAGGGGACTTGTGCACCTCTGTTTGGGACTACGGGACTGTGAGCCATTAAGGATATTGAGGAGCCAACATGCAAGTGAAACAGAAGTCACAGGGTGTGCTGTTTCCAGAATAGTATCTATATAGCTAAATGTGTGTGTGAAAGCATACACGAGTTGCTGGATTGTGTCCAGAAAAGGACAACAAAACTGATAAAGGGTCTAGAGCACAAGTCTTATGAGGCATGGCTGAGGGAGCTGGATTGTTTAGCCTGAAGGAAAGGAGGCTCAGGAGGGACCTTATAGCTCTATATAATTACCTGAAAGGAGGTTGGGGGGGTGGTCTCTTTTCCCAGGCAACAAGCTATAGGACAAGAGAAAATGGTGTCAAGCTGCGGCAGGGGAGGTTTGGGTTGGGTGTTGGGAAAAACTTCTTCACTGAAAGGGTGATCAGACATTGGAACATGGGAAGTGGTGGAATCACCGTCATTGGAAGTGTTCAGAAAACATGGACGTATGGTGTTTAGGGACATGGTTTAATCGTGTGTAAGGACTTTAAGAGCACAGTTACCTGTCTCAAGCATTGCTAAGGACACAGAAGGACTTTGCCATGAGATAATCACAGAGTCGAGTGACAGGATGGTGATAACTGCAGGCCTGGAGAAGGTGAGGTTTGGTTAGCACATCCTAGATAATGCATCCAGACAAAAATTCCTGTAGTGGTAAGCTGTGTAAAGAAGCAACTGCTTGTATGCGTATCACCAGTCAAACAAGGATCAGCACAACTTATGGGGCAGATGGCATCTCTCATCAGCAAAGCTCCCCCCTGAATAAGCCTCTGTTGATACCTGGAACTTGAACCGTAAATTAAGCCACCCTGATGGGAACTTGAGATAAGATAAAAGTGGTACTATTGTCTGGGGGTTATCTCAGACCTAGGGGGAGGTTAAGAAAGCGGGGAGGGGGGGGTGAAGTGAGGGTGGAGGGGAGGGGGGGGAATAATGTATCACTGATAATGGACACAAAGAATGCAGAATTTATGGGCCACAGGGAAAGTCAGCTCAGGAACTGTACTGTAATCAGCTCCAACTGGGCAAAAGGTAATTCCAGCAGGGGCAGATTGCAACCACCAACCACAACCCCCCAAGTCAAGAAACTCATGGACTCAAAAGAAGAGAAAGACTGATCATGCAGACTTACGTTTAATCAATGGAATAAGAGAGCTCTCTTGAGTTCAATGAGCATTAATTCCTTTGTTTGCAAAAATGCATAAATAGTGAAAAGTTTTGAACGACCTCAGGACCCCACACCACTAAGAAGCCCAGGATCCACGGGTGGTGACTGTTTTCTGCTCAATCTGTCTCTCTCTTCTCTTTTCTATTTCTTTTTATCTCTCTACCTCACATTTTATTGTTAAATAAAATCCTTACTATTGATTTTAGCATATGGTATAGTTTACACCTTAATTTGGACAGAGGCATCTCTCACTAATTGGATCTTAACAGGATGGTCTTAGCAGTGTGGGGTTAGTGGTTAAACTCGATGATCTTAGAGGTCTTTTCCAATTTGAATGATTCTGTGATTTTATATATACAAGTGTATATGTACATCTCTCTATAAACGTATATACTTTTATATATGTATATAGTGAGTACAACTGCACATAAGAATATGTGCATGATCAAAAACAAGCCTGTCAGAAAAACAGCCCCTGTGTCAGGCTTCTGACACAAGGGCTACCTAAAGTTTCACGTTGCCAGCCCACTTTACCACTGAAAAGCGAGTAATCAACATATTGCTATAGAAAATAATAAATAATGCTGCTTCTCACCTTCTCACATGGAATAAAACCCAAACTGGATGGAGACCTTGATTTTTGAAACTCTGTTCCACTCCCATCTTTTTTAATTGCATGGAAAACAAACTGACAGCACTTTGTTGCTGGTCATTCCTTATCCCAATCTGAAGGCAAGACAACCCTACAGAAACAGGACAAGGCAGGCAGCTGAGAACTGACACTAGCCAAGGGCCAGCTCAGGGTCCCTCATACTCTATGACTGTCATACAGCAGGAAGTCGAATTCGTAGTGTATCTTAGATTCACTTATTGAACATTTTCTCCCTTGTTCAGTTTGAAAACAAAGGGGTTTAGCCTGGCCCTGGGTAGGCGGTGGTAAAAACTCACTTGAATGTCAGTAAGTCCAACAGCCTTCCCTCTCCTTTCCCCAGTTTTATGATTTTTTACCATTATACTGAAACAATGAGCGTTATTTTAGACAGTTGTACTTAAAATCAGGGACAATGTGAATCTTCATCCAAAATGGCTTCTAGTCTCCACCAGGAATTGTTTGTTTTGTAGGCAGTGGTCTGACTTAATTTCTACTTCAAATTTACTTTGTACATTATACCAAGCTTCTGTATAAGCTCTGAGAGAAGCTCTTCAAATTTAACAGGACTAAAAATCCCTTTTCCTTCTTACTCTTATCACTTACAGCATTTTCAACTTTGTCCACTGAAAAACAACAGAAGCAAAAAAACCACCTCAGCTCAGTGTAGTATATGTAAATATGTAAACATGTATGGCTCTCTGTTTTCCCCCTGCTTCCCTTCTTAGCAAAAGAAAAGGCAAGAGTGGTACCTTCAGGTCACATCCATCACATCAGCCCTTTTAAATATGAGGACCTGATCATTGCTTGACTGGTGAGATGTTGCCAGTTATTAGCAGTGTAAAGACATATTGATATTGCACCATAAATTTCCATGGTGTTTCACTTCTCCAAGCAGGGCCACAGGTCACAAAGATCACTGGGTGCAACAGTGCAGAAGTTTGTATTTACTGCCTGGTAATAACACACTATGGACCACTGTCTGAGCTTATTTACATGGGTGTTAGCCCAGAGTAGCTGCTTGGTGCCACTGGATTTACGCAAGATTTACACCTGTGCAACTAAGAGCAGAATTTGGCCCTAAATTATGATGTAGTTAAATACCCCATGTTTCTGAGTTGCAGATCATTATTTACACCCACATGAAATGGGTTGTAAAATGCCATTACGTTGATTTGTTGGAGTGTTAGACTCAATTTGCTCAGGTGTAAATAACTGCCCAGTGGGTGGCATAATATTTGCATCCTGTAGCTTAAGGCGTTGCTGTCTGCTGCAAATCAGTCAGGCTTCAGGCTCCAGTATCCTCGTGAGAGCAGAATGGATGCTCCTGGCCTGGAGAAAGTGATGCAATAGCAGACTGCTAATGAGTGTTCATGGGGCGTGACATACATGGAATAAAACTGGAATATCTTTTGTATACTTCCATTATTTTTTGCAGCTGAAGTCTCGTGTCCTGATGACTCCCTTAGCAGTCTCTCCACCGAGAAGCACGCCAGAGCCAGATATTAGTTCAATCCCTCAGGATGCAGCTACAATACCCAACTCGGACACCCCGCAGTCTCTCACAGGTACTCAGCCTCAAGTGCTCCTTGATCGAGGGGTGAGCAGGAGTCACGGGCTGACAGCCAGATGATGTGCTTCCCAGAACAGGTGGAGCTCATGAAAATGGGGTGTTTGAAGATTAGTCTGGCAACCAGTGACAAAGAGCAGAGATATCCTGCAAAACTATATTTTGACTGCCATGTGTCAAATTTAGTGGAGATGTCAGTTCCATTCCTCTTGAAATGGGAACTTGAAAACTCATTAATTCTCCATTTTATACCCAGTACTCACCCCATCTAATATGTTGCAATGACCAGACTAAATCCCTGTATGGACATGAAGCATCTGTTACAGCTGTGGGGAGAAGAAGAGCAGAGGAGCCATGGTCTGACTGTAGGCAGGGTTACCAGCACATAAACCTCAATGCCTTATCACAGCAGCAGATGTGGTCATTTCTGAATGTAGTCAGAAAACACAGCCTTATTCTTTTTTTTGTTTATACTATCAGAAGTGACATAGGTCAATGCTTTTAAACTGATGTAAATGAGAAGAAAATCAACAAGACAGTTGATTTAGCCTGAGATTTCAGCAGAGAAATGGATTAGATAACATTAGAATCTAAACACAACACATAAATCCCATTATTTCTTAGTTGGGATGCACAGAGGAGAAGTTTTCCATCTGCTCTGATGGCAGAATGACACTAAACACAGCGACAATGACGATAATAATATATTTTGTTCTCATTTATCCCTTCACATACAAAGTCTGCAAAGCACTTGGCAAACATCAGCCGAGTGGTGTTTCACAGCACTGCCCTGAGAGGTGTGCCTGGGGCTGCTTCTGAAGGGGGATAGGGAGGCACAGTCCACACCAGTCCTACCAGATCACGGGCTGGTGGCAAAGGCAGAGGTTCCGTGAGTCTTTCCAGGCTCTGTGGATGCAGTGCCCCACATCTCTTTCTGCCCACCCCCATGGCACCTCTTCTCCCAGTACCTTCCCAATGGTGAATGCAGCCTCCCACCAGAGCAGGGTTTGCAGGAGATGGAGGGAAGCTCAAGCTGGCTTTTGCCTGCCTATCTGCACCAAAAGGACCACAGGGACCCCTGCTCCCCAGTGAGGGACTCAGCACACTGCCTGCAGGCTGCAGAGTCTCTCCCACAGCTGCAGCTGACCCCTGACAAAACCAGTCAGGGTCACAGCAGAAGTCGCACTCTGCAGATTTGTTGAGGTGGGGCACGCTGGGAAAGCTGCACTCTGACATCCCCCTCCAATTCATGCATGCTGCTGCTGTATTTTAGTGCACTATTCCTTTGTTTGTTTGGCACTTGGAAGGTGTAAAGTGGTATGTAATGATAAGTATGATTGCTATTATACTCCTGTTTACCCAGGATATACTGCTTGAGCCCCTTCTGCTGTTCCCTGCTAGATGGGGTAGCAGAGTGCACTGTGACAGTCGCACTAGATTTTCATTACAGTGATGCAAACCATAAATTATTTCCAACTTTACACAGCTGTCATCATGTCCTCCACTCCGCTTGATGGGGTTTTTTTGTCACATATCTGATTTCTGTCAGAGGGTAATGTTATATTGTTTGAGAGATGACAGCTCGAGCACACTCAGCCAGCTATTATAATACGTCTCACTTTAGCCTGACTTAAAGCTGTGTCTTAGTTGCCCTTAGTTACTGCAGCATTATCTCCACTTTCTCCAAGATACAGCTAGCCTCAGCCAAGTTTAAAATAAGTTCATGGTAGTGAGGAGAACACTGATCTTCTGGCTATTGATGGCAGGCCTGATGGCATGTAGAAAAACTGCCTCTGCAGGCAATGGCTTATGAGAGGAGGCACGCAGGGCTTGGCTGTGGAGAGACTGGTGCAGATCCCCTCACAAGACCCCCTGTGCAGCACAGTCTCTCTGCTGTGGTTCCTAATGGGGATGGAGCACTGCACACCATGTACAGTTTCCCCTGATACAACACAGTTTGTAGAGTGCTGGGTTGGACATGGAGGGTCAGGAAGATCCCAAAGACCAGAGTCTCTGCTGTGGCACTGTGCAGCTCAGCGCGGCATAACCCTCCAGAAATTACAGCTGCATTAGTGTCAGAAGAAGCAAGGATCCGAAGTCTTTCCAAAACTCAGAGCAGTGCTTCTCAGAGTGGCTCTCAATGAACCAGTGTAAACATACATAGAGAAAATAAAATAAACAACTCCAAAACACACCTTGGGCTGGCGTTCACCCCTTGTTGTGAAGTCTCCCTTGTGAGTCACTGTCCTGCACTCCCAGGGCATTTTTCTGGTCACAGGCTGCATGGACAAGGGTAGACTTAAGAGCCGAGGCATACACAGGAGCTTCTCTAGATGCATGTAGCTTATCCTAAGTTGTGACACTGAGCTAGACCTAAACTCATCTTGCTTTGCTTTGACAGTGAGTGATCAGTGTGAGGAAGTCTGGCTCTGCCATCGCAAATGGCAACAGTTCAACAGTGAATGCAAGAACTTTGAAAATAAATAGAAACGTATAACACTAGTATTTTCTAGGATGCTCTCAGGACTGTTTTGTAATAACTTTGTTGGGATTTTATGTCTACAGTCTGCATTTATGTCAACAAACAAGCGAATCCGGGGCCGTACCTTGACAGAAAAAAGGTGCAGCAGCTGCCAGAGCGCTTTGGGCCAGAGCGGCCATCGGTGGCCCTGCAGCACGCAGTGCAAGCCTGCATCGACTGTGCGCTCCAGCAAAAGGTGGTCTTCTCCCTCATCAGGCAGGGCTATGGAGGCGAGATGGTGTCAGGTAAAGCGTCTTTGTAAGGGGTTTGTGGCCAGTAGGGAAGTGCTTGAATTCTTAACCTAATCCCCAATCCTGACTGCCCTGGCTGTCCCGTTCACATCAGGGGGCTGGTAACCAGCTTTGAACATCACTTACACCTTTGTAAAATGAGCTGCTGCAGGAATTGCCTTGGCATCAGACGAAAGACTATCAGTAAAGTGTATTGCGGTGTTGTTTCAGGAGAGGAACAGGCGCTTCAAAATCCGGCATTTACCACTCTTGGGAACAGTTCTGGGGCCTGGGGTGTGAGCTGAGGATTTCATGCAGCCGTACAAGAATGAGCAGCAATGCCAGCCCACTCCATGACATACATTATCACCACAAGTACACATGCATGCCTCATGCAATGAGGGTGGTAAAACACTGGAACAGGTTGCCTGGAGAGGTAATGGATGCCCCATCCTTGAAAGTGTTCAAGGCCAGGTTGGATAGGCCTTGGAGCAATCTGATCTAGCTGAAGATTTCCCTGCTTACTGAAGGAGGATTGGACTAAGTGACTTTTAAAGGTCCCTTCCAGATAAAACCATTCTATGACTTTGATTCTATGTTGCTCTAAAGGACAATTCTTATGGAGTTCAGCTGCTGGTGCATCCTGTGCCTGCAGTTCATGAGCCAAACCTGCTCTCAGCTGCAGAAATTGCAAAAGTTCCATTGCAATTCCCTGTGCAGCAGGACTATGCAAGTATATCAGAGAGAATCAGAGATCAAGGGGAATTTCCCAGGAGTCCCTCATCTTCCTGCGGTGGCACTTCTTGTTGTGTCCTGATGAGTCTCCCATGTCCCACACTAAATACCCTGGCCTGGCTCTCAGATTGAATATGAATTTTTTTTTAAGCACAGCTAGAGTTTTGTGTCACAACACTGTTTTGGCACATGGGGATGCTGTGTGAATGAAACAATGGTGGGAATATGGAACAGAACTCTCCAATAAGATGCTGCAAATGAGTCAAGCCAAGGACTACAAATCCAGTTTCACAGGGACTGCAGCTGCTCAGCTGTGCCATTGGGATCTTCTTGTGTGGGAGCCTAAGCGCTGGCCCTCTGTGCAACATATAAATCCTGCTTCTTCCCTCTCCTCTAGTTCTCTCTCATCACAGGTGTGCCTTCCCTATGGGACATCAGAAATAGTCTGAGAATGATCCAGACTTGTTCACAGAAACATGAGATGAAGCAATTTAGTGCAAATCTTCATTTTTGCCTAGTTCTGTGCTGCATATATGATTTTCATTACAACCAGGAGAGTCACATTATGCACCAAGCCTGCCAAACTCGGTTGCAGTTCCTCTGAGCTGACTCAACTTCAGCCTCACTTGAGTTAAAAGCACCTGGGCAGCATTGCTCCCAGCCTCATGCTTCTTCTAATCATCAAGGAGGGGTGAATGGCCTCCTAGTCATGGCATGGCTCTGCAATTGCACCTCACTCCCAGCCCAGCAGCAGTGAAGATAAATTTTATCACGGGCTTTCCAATCTTCCCATGGCTTGACTCACAGATGTTCAACTGGCTGTGGAGCACGATCCCTCACAGCAACTTAGGCCAACAGGAAATCTCTGAAGTTATCCCCAAAATTATAAGTCTAATGTTATGATTTGTACTTGTTAGCAGTGATGGGAGGCTGTAGGATTGGGAAAAAACCTCCCAGGTGGAGGAGTCCAGGCAGCCATATCATGTAGTCCTTTCCACAGACCTGTTGACACTGTATGTGTCCTGCTATAACTGATTCTGGTGGGTTTGTTGTGACCCCTCCACCTCTCTCAGGTTCCTGGCTAAACATATCTCTTGACAGCTTTGCCTAGGAATTTTAATTGCTCTTTTCTCTCCCCTGAGTTCAATTTTAGATGTATTTGTGGAGAGCTGCCCTCATCCAGTTAGGCTGAAATACACAGTCTCTTTCAGGTGAGGACGATCTCTGGATTAGTGAAAGGAGTGCAAGCGTTTTACCACTGTCCTACACAGAGGCATGGTGATGGCTGCAGTGTCACAGAGGAAATTTCTGTCCCCTGAATATTGCTGTGGTGGGCCTGTACACTTCTGCAAGTGTGAATTCACCCTTTTTGAGCCTGGATGACCAGAGTGGTTCCCATCAGTCCATCTCAGGTTTCACCAGGACTTTATATAGTGGCATTAACAATCCCTTTTCTCTCCTGGAAATGCTTTTTTCTACATCTCCTTGAAGTGTATCTGACTTTTTTTATCACTGTGTTACCTCAGTGACTTATGGTCATCTGGTGAGCTTGTTTCATCATTTCTTCTCTCATCAGGTTGTACTGAGTCTCCTCAAATAGTTATGGATGGCTGTGTACATTCTAGAATTTTTTTCTACTAATTTTTGCTATTACAGAATTCAAAATTAGTCAATCCTTTCTGTGCAGTCTTCCAATCTTCTTTTCTATCGATAATGTCTTCTAGCTTACAGCATCCACAAAATCTTTCTGTGCCAGTGCAGACAACCGCAGCTCCCTCTCCAGGACTTGAAGTGTCCTGCCAGCAGACTCTGTTGTTTCTTGACCCACCTTTCATATGCAATGATTTCCAGTTTAATGAAAGATCCCTCACATTTTACTGAATTCTGCATAGAACACAACTGCCAACCTTCCCTTGCCTATAAATGCAATTAACTCAGTAAGTACAGATCCACGATGAAGCTGTTCCCTCTCTCTTCAGTACAACCTTGGTACATTTTACTCATTCACAGCCATGTCTTTAATTATCTCCCCATAATCTTTTAAAACCTTGGGTATTGCTGAAGACAGCCAAATAGCCCATCACTGTTAGTGATCACTGCAGATCACTTTCTTTCCCTTTCCTTAGACCAGGGTATCATAATTGCCTCCAATCACACAATACAGTTTTCAGATGGATGCATATATTAGAAATCCTTGCACTGCTGACCATGCCAGTCAGCATCTTTCAGCACTCTAGGGGGAAGGTGATTTGGGTCACACAAACTCAGCTCCTTAAGCTCCTCCAGTTTGTTATGTGCCTCAGGTAAGGTAATTATGCAAAATATTTTAAGACATGCAAACACTTGAGTAAAATCATTTCCCTTGCTCTCATTCTTCTTCCTGCCATGCATCCCCAGGTATTGAATTGCTCCTGTTTGCTTTCCAGTTTCAGCTTCTTTTGAGGGGAAGCAGCATCTCCAGAGCCTACTGGTAGTGAACAGCATTGGATATGTCCTGCGCTTCCTGAAGAAGCTGTGTCGCAGCCTCTTGTGTGACAATCTCTTCAGCAACCAGCCTTTCCAGCAGTACAACGCTGTGATGGAAAGCCCGGAGGTGTATGAAAACAGACAGGTGGAGGCAGGTAGGCTGCTTGATCAGCTTGGGCTCAAGATTTAACAGACCTGAAGAAATTACTGTCTTTTGGGGGGGCTGTACTGTATATGATAGAGAACTGCAGGCCTCTGTGGGACCTTTCCAGAGGGAGGCAGCAGGCTGATTGGCAGTATTTTTCCCAGTAGCTATGGAGGAGGCTTTCAGCTGAGCACCACTGTGTTGAGGAGCAACAGGGATAGGGATAATTTTAAAATTATTTTATATTTTTATGTTTCTTTTATCTCTTTTCCTAAGGAAAAAAAGACTTGTATGCTATCGTTGTCCTTGTTTCTGTCAATTTTCTCCTGTAACTTTTGGCCTCCTCAAGCATACTTGACTCTGAGGTAGAAGCCTCAAACGGATTTAAGTTCCTTCAAGTTTCAGGCAGGCAGGAAGGTAGAGGGGAAATTTTCCTTTCTTCATAGCATTCAACCACCATATTAGACACTAAAGTATCCCCACTGACTACCAAGGCCTCTCTGCTTACAACGATGCCTGTCCCGGGTCCTCATACCCCTCTGTTCATGCACTACCTTGGCTCATTGCCTACAGGGGGAATGGGAGGCTGGATGAGTGTGTGGATCCCAATCCACACTTTGGTGTCATCATGGCATGCCATAACAGGTATTCTCTGACCTGGCACTGCTCCAGCACCTGTGTGCTTCCCAGCTTGCATGCAGCTTTTTTTAAGGATCACCTGCAAAGCAGGACGGTCTGCCTTCACTCGAGCGGGCCTCTTACTGGGTGAGGGGAGGGAGCCCCCTGCAGCACTGCAGTTTTGGGTCAGGGTTGCCAGCATAAACCTAGGGTACACATTATTAGCAGTAACACACTAAGACTGGATCCTGATCTGTCACCTCCATCTGTGAGTGTAAACCTAAATGAGTTGTGACTGCTAAGTGGTTTGCTTTGCTACTTTCAGGAATGTTTCTCCTTAAAAAGTCTCTGGGCACCAGCAAGTTCCTTCTCTTAGTGCTAGACCATGTGGGACAAAGAATGAAGGGGCTGTGGTGTGGGGCAGATGCACCCAAGAATGGTGGTGGTCCAGAGAGCTACCTGCCCAGAGCAACACCGGGCTCCCAGATGCATGGGACCTGAGGTTCCTTCTTGCCCACACCGCAGCATGTTGGGATGGGGTGCTGGCCCCAGGCAGCCCCCATGGAACTGGAGTATGCCTGCAGCCTCCATCTGCAATCAGTGGCTAGAAGGCTGCCCTGGGGCCCTCTATGGACTTTGCAAAAACTAGTTTAGTAAAAAGGAAAGATGCAAATTATGGGCATGAGCCTTCATTTCACCTGCAGGCTTCCTCCTGACTTAAACTATTTTTCCTTTTCTTTTATTAACAACACTGTGGGTGTCTCTCATGCATTCAGTTTAATGGCAGATACATGCTGGCCAAGAGAAAGGTGTTTTAGTGTCCACAATTATGAGTGGTTTGTTTGCCAGGAAGACCCTAAGTGTGAAGATTGCACACCAAAGCTGGAGAGGGCTGTGCACACAGTGCAGAAATATTCTTTTTGTGCAAAGAAATCCAGCTGCCACTCTTTCACATAGGAGAGGAAAGGCAGGAGCCCAGACTGAAAAGCAGTATTTTTCTCTTGACTACGACATTTGCAGCAAGCTGGATGTTTCTGAGAGGTCAAGGGATTTCTGTAGCACTGAGCGAATGCAGCCCAAGAGGCCTGGCATTTGCGTTTGCATTCTAATTTGCATGTACATTTGCATTTACTTTTGCACAGCATGTGATAGAAGGCAGCTCCACAACCGGAGTTTTTACAGTTACTGTTACACTCTGAGAATCTCCCTCCCCACAAAATTTCAGTGCAGATGTCCCTGGCACCATTCCCATCGGATCTCCCCAGACACGGAGGAAGGGGCTAAATATTATTTTCCCTCAAACTAGACAGGAGATGTAGGTGTAGGCAAGGCTTCTGTTTCCTGGGTCTCCTACTGGGTCTATGGGGGGGGGACAATTAATAGCTTCCCAGAAGCAGCATGGACTGGGAGTCTGGGCTAGCCAGGGAGGTTTAGATTAGGTATTAGGAAAAAATTTACTGTGAGAGTGGTGAGGGACTGAAACAGGTTGCTCAGAGAAGCTGTAGATGCTCCATCCCTGAAAGTGTTCAAGGCCAGGTTGGATGGGGCCCTGGGCAAACTGGTCTAGTGGGTGGCATCCCTGCCCATGTCTGGGGTGAGAAGTTGGAACTAGATGATCTTTAAGGTCCCTTCCAACCCAAAGCACTCTATGATTCTATGGAAGAGCCATCTGGTCCTGCAGTGAGAGAGGCTGTGCTCTTTCCAGAGCACAGTGCTCTTTCCAGAGCATTTGGGTGCTCAAGTGGCTGTTTGAGCTGACAGCCCCAAGAGGGGATGCTCCTTCCAACAAAGACTAACAGGAAAATGATGAGATGGGATTTGAGGACAGTTTCAGCTCTACTGAAGCCTGTCCCATGGCCTGTGGGGATGGTGGGAGGAGAGCTCAGCAGCTTCTCCATTTAATCCACTGCATGCCTTGGGGCCCAAGATGCAAGCTGGAAAGATGGGGGCTGGTTTCAGTGCAGCCAGGTAGTTGTCTGGAAAACCCAGCTGAGATTATTTGATTATTTATTATTATATTATTATGACTGAGATTATTTCTCAGTCCTAGAGCACACATGAAGGCATGGAAGGAGAAATTAACTCTGCCGCATAAAGCACTTGAAATGGGGAATTTTGGAGAGGGGAAAACCTGCCTCTTCCCCAGGGCAACTAGTGCCCAGCTCAGGAGCTGTTTGTCCATGTCTGTGTGGTAGAGGAACTGGAGTGATGGTCCCTCACCCTTTGTGTTGTACTCAGATAGAGCCAGGCAGGTACACAGCATTCCTGTTCATCGTGTCAGTTTGTATTCAACAGCTCCATTGGCACCACTGGAGTAACTCCAGTTTGAGGCACTGAGTCTATGTTTAATGCTTTATTGCCTAAATCTCCTTCCATCTCCACAGGAGCTAGCATTTCTCTGCAAGAAGGTCAGCACAGAGGGGTCCTCTGCTACACAGGGCAGAGACAGGGTCTCCCCATAGTGGCAATAAGGAGGACAGTAGGAACTCTGCTTGCAGACAGGTCTGTCAGACGCCTGTTGGGATAAAGCTTGTATGGAAGAAGCAGGGCCATAACAAAACACCACAGGAACCCATGAAAAACAGCCACATCTTTCATTCTTTATGTTCTCCAGCTTGTAATCAAGATGTTCTTTCTTTTAAAATCACGTGCTTTTCAGCCCCTGTGCACCAATGAATCTAATACATGTATTGACTTTGGTGCATTTACTCTTGATTTACACTGTCAGAAATGAGAGAAGCCAGCATCATATCCAGTCATATTAATCCACTTACACCATACAGGAGTCACCTTTTAACCTTGCCCCAAAGTACGTGCCCCTAAGCCTTTATTCACCTATGCTCACAGCAAACTGCCATATGCTAATGGCTGTGTACAGGCCAGGTGGGATTTGTTGACATATGCATACATCACTTACAACCATGTTTTACATGTCTAAGAAGTACACACTCACCATGCTGTACCTAGTGCTGGCCTCTGCAATGAACCTCATCGACAGTGCATTACCCTCCCTGCACCTGAGCCCCAGCTCTGCCTGCCCTGTCAATGCCTCTCACACCAGCATCCCGTAGCCCCATGTGTAGGGTGAGGGCTCCTCTCCAGCCCCCTCCCAATGTCAGTGGCTTCACTGCCTTGTCCTGGCACATCTGCGGACATTCCTATATCTCTTTCTTGGATGTGAAGGGACTTTCTGGCTCACTAGAGCAATTTGTGGGCAGCAGTTGTGGGATGACTCCCAGGACTTCATCTGGGAAATCCTGGCTTCAGGTCTGCATTACAGCAAATCCCGAGATGTTACCTGTCCCCACAGCACCTGGGTTCAAAGCACCTCTGAACTTGCACCCCAGAATTTTCCATGACAGCAGCAGTGTAGCTTGAGCTAAAATGATGGCAAGATCTGGGTGACCTGTGCAGAAAATGCTGTGGAGTGTGCCTGGGACTACACGATGGAAAGCCACCAGAGATCCTGTTGCCTCCATACACACAGTCCGTGGTCAGCTTTCATTATTTCTCTCTGTGCTGGTTTAAAAGTAAACCGGCAGGAGAAAAGGACCCAACTCAAGAGAGATTACAAGTCAGAGTTATAATATACTAAAAGAGATTACAATAAATGCAACGATACAGAGAAAAACTGGTTTTAACCCCCAGAAACAGATGTATAACCCAGCACCCTGGGACAAGAACAGAACAGTGTTCGTTGGCCCAGGTGCTGAGCACCATGTGGCCCCCCTGGGTGAAAAGTAAAAGGAAAGAAAAACTGTGCTCTCTGGCCCAGGTGTCTATGGGGCTATTCTTGAAATGGGTCCCATTATCAGACTCAATTCTCTCTGGGGTGCTGTGCCACCACAGGACTTGCTTTTCAAGGCCCAGGATGGTATTCCGGGCAGTGGCGTGAGGCACTGGGTATGTCCCCAGCCTTGATCTTCTCCCCATGGCCAAATCAAATTTGTGTGCTTAGACACCATATGGAGTTCCCTACCACTGTCCACAGGAGAACAGTATCTCTTCTTGTGGCATTTCCTGGAGGTAGGGATCTATATGGAGCATATGGATGTATATGGATCTATATGGAGCAGAAGCACAGCAGCAGGTAGAGGTACCCTATGCTACATTAGCGCCTCTGTCTATAGGAAGGTGGGCTCTTCCTATCCACAAGCACTTGAAAAGCTGGTATGAGAAGTGCTATAGCAATGCACAATAGGAGAGTGACTAGTGGGCGAGACACTAGCCTGGGAGCTGGATTTTTATAAGACTTTCCCATTGACTGTGTGGGCAAGTCACCCTTCCATGCTGTGCTTTTATTTGAGCATTTGTCGAAGGAGGGCAATAATTCTTGTCACCATGTGCAAAACCCTTCTGAAACAGCCAGGAAAAAAAGAATAATATGATAGA